TTTTACTATAAAAAAGGGAAGAAAAGAGTTGAATGGACAATAGAAGAAAACAGAACAAATTCGATTGCGAGGAACTAGTTTAGAATAATCTTCTATTACCTTCATTAAAGTAAAATAGTTAAAACTGAAAACATTCATGCTTTTCTCATATTGCATCATTAGAGCAAAATACTAATAGAGACTGAAAAGAGGATATATACTATTCATAGGAAGATTTATAGGTTGTAGTACTCACTGTCTTTCATTAAAAGTGCTTAGAAAGTGACAAACAGAAAACAGAATGATTAATATGCAAAGTCCCTAAAGCCCTCAATAATCAGGTACTTACTCAGATAATTTAGAAAATAATTTTGTACTGTAAATGACAAATTAGGTAATGGACACTTGACTATGAATTGCTTAATACCATGTAATCTTCTCAATGTCCAACCAAATCCATAGTGCTTGAGGTACTTGAAATGAAGAAAGGTGGGAGACCAAATTAGGGACAAAATAGCGAACTTGAGTAGGCAAGGTTAACTACCACCAATTTATTATATGACTAACAGATACAGAATGTAGAACAGAAAGTGTTCAAAAAGGTGCCAAAACACAGCAGCAAAAGTTGAAAGAAAGGAAAAGAAGAACAGTGAAGGAGAGAGAATATGGAATACAATTTTGTGAAATTTGATATCTGGCCCAGGAAAATAACTTTTTGCACTATTTTTGTCATGGGGTGCATAAAGTCTACTTTGAGTCTGCATTATGAAGTGTGAACTCACACCAGATTTCCTGGAGTCGACCAGTCTCAGCAATACAGAATGGTTACCCTTACTGTCGTCATCTGTCTTCTAACTACCAGCCTCAGGAGACGACAGCAATGAGCTGGACTGTTTTCCCTAGCTTATCATGGCCTAGTAAATGATCCTGGAAAGTCAGTTTCCAAGCCTTACTTCCACATACAGGGTACATGGGATTATTTCACAATTCTCTTCTACAGCTATAAAAATGAGAAAAACCATATCCTTAGTTTCTGAATCTAATAAGTATTTCATCAATTATAGCTTTTAAATATTAGATGGCTCCTAATTTCTCTGATCTACAATTTCCTTACAAATAAAAAGAACAAATGGTTGCTGACTCAATATGAAAATCAGCAACAATGACTATAGTCAATAAATACTAGTTTCTATTTCATTATGCTCACCAATTTTAATTTTTTTATTTTTGGTGGGACTGAGCTTTGAACTCAGGGATGTTCTTGCTGCTCCTAAGGAATCAAAAAAGTCATTTTGTGTATCTTTACTTTTACCTAAGAACTACTACCAGGAAAACAGAGGTTTGATAACTAATTCACTACTTTAATAAATTACCACAGCTTATTTAAATAAAGGCTGAACTTGAATGCCAGTTTAGAACCTTATTACTCAAGTATGTTTATAAGAGAAGAGGAACCAACATCACATGAGACTTGGAAGACAAGTGCAGGCCTTCACCCCGGACCTCTATAATCTAATGTGCATCCTAACAAGACTCCCTGGTGAGTCATGAAAATTGAGCTCTATTTTAGAGCAAAAAGAGGTTGGGGAAGAAAGGCAAAATCACCTCAGTTTCTTCAAATTATGTTCTCCCCATTACCCAATTTGGTAACCACTAGTGTGCACAGTGCATTAAAAAGTAGATATATAAGTTGGCAAACACATACCTCCTCTCCAAAAGAAGAAAGACAATTTTCAACTTAGTGTATGGATGACTGAAAAACATTAAAGTAAAATTTGCAACGAATGATTTTTAGCAGCTCACCCAGTCGAAGACACTGTCGCAAAATTCCTCCAGATGACATGCTTTTTTCAGCTTCAATTTCAGTAAAGCCAAGAGAACTTGCAAATATAAGCACATCCACAAGGCTAATGAGCCTCTGCAAAAATGTCACAGAGGCTTCTATTGAAAGACCCTGAGTAGGTTCAATATTCTCCAGCTCGTGCTGTAAGGAATAAATTTGTCATTGATGTCTATATTCTGATAAAAATCTGATTTTACCAGATAAATCCCCTGAGCATCTGAATTTTATAAAAAGTTAGGTTTCCAGAAATCTAGTGCAATAGAGTGACTTATTTATTTCATCTAAAGAAGAAGGGCAATGTGAACATTCAGGAAAACACTGTCAATCATAGTCTTCACTGGCTAACTCAGCCCTAAAAATCAACATTCTTTCTAGAGTCTTTTCATCCCTGGAACAGATCCTAAAATCCTTTCAAGTAACTGAAAAATTTACAGTGGCTATGATGCATAGTAACCACTGCATTCAAGTTTTAATCAATAAGGATGCACAGCACTCATGATTCACACCAATTGTATACAGTGGTTAAGTCCTTACTGTAGCTGATGTAGCAGCTGAAAGAAGTGGCAGTATTCCCCCACAAGCCATGACCATATTGTCCATCACTTGAGAGATGAGATGAATTGTGTTGTGTACAAAGATGACATTATCACTGCTATTCACGAAGTCCATAACTGTCTTTGTTGAATGGCTGTCCAAAGATAAATGATGTTTACTGACAAAGCTAAAAAAAGGAAATCACAATTTGCCTACTTGAGGGGAGGAGTATAAAGAGGTTCTTTTGATTCATCTAGAAAACTGAGGAACAGATAATGGTACGTGGGTACTATGGGTTGTGTACTTCCTCAGAAGAAGTAGAACATTCTACACCAGCAGTTGCTAGCCAGGTCCTCTTTCAGGGCTGATACATAAACACTATTCATCCTATATTTGATTTTAAAAGTTGAATGAAATTATCCTTATTGAGAAGTCAGATAGCAAAAATGAGGCAATAAATGGTGCTAAATGTACTTTAAGAATGAACTCTCTACCAAAGTTTTCTTAGGTAATGCCATACAATTATTTTAAATGGAATAAGAACTGAATACAAATAAAAAAATACATTAGGCACTTTTTAAAATTATAAACCAGACAACAAAAGATAACCTGAAACATACAGATTTCCAATGCTAAACATGAACAAATTACACTTACAGCTGGATTTTTAGTGCTTCTAATAATAACCCGACTTGGTACCCCTATCATCTGGTAAATTCCATGCTATCAAACATGCTGTGGGAAAGCTTCAGCGGTTTTTTTAAAAGAAAAATCTCTGGCTTTCATGTTTTGGTAATCCAGGAAACTGAATAAAACCCTACCATAGAATAATATATATTATACCTTTTCAACCGAAAGTCTGACGTTACTTACAAATTGTATAAATTGTTTTGAAAACAAAGGCCAAGATCTATTCACATCTTCCTTAATAAACACATGGACAAACCTTCTCCACATCTGTATATCTGTTTCTATTGAAAATAAGAGATCGGTGAGCAAACGCTGATGCATTTGAGACCACTTGAACTCAGGAATACGAAAAATAGAAGATCTGGAATCCCTCCTCTGTCCAGCAACTGCATCTGGTGCTGTTCCTTGCCCTGGCTGCTCCTGTTGCCTTGACATCTAATACAGAAAAATTAAAAAGAAATAAAATAAGTTCAACTTCAAAGGAAGGCATTAGCAAGGTAAATAACTTAGTAGCTTCCATTCAATTCATCTAACCAATACTCAATAAATTAGAGAAAAATTATCAAGTAGTAACATTAATATTTAATATTTGATAACTTTGCTTTAAATGTTGTGGAGCTGTACTGAGTATTATCACTGTGTAGCAATTCATAAAGGAATCAAGATGTTCTTAGTTTTGAATTTTAGTATAAAAGAAAGGCAGTTTTTATAATATAAACAATACCCGTATTATAAACTGGCTAAAATGAAGAATAAGCTGAAGTAAGGTTAAAATAATGAAGAACAAATAAATCAACAAAAAGGAAGGAAAGAGAAAGGATAAGAATGGAATAAAGTGGAAAACAGAAACATTCAATCAAAAACTGTCTCACCTGTCACTCATCACAAACCTCATGTTACAATTTCAACCTCACACTTCACAACTGAAAGTATAACTGGCATGTATGTAGCCCTACATATTAGTGAAAAATAATGTGCTATAGGTGTGTCAGTCAAAAAAAAAAAAAGGGTGAAATGCAAGTGTTTCCAGTATTTGCTTCATAAATCAGTATCATGCTAATCCTAAAACTTACAAGTGATAATGATGCTGTATTAAAAATAGTAAAAGCTGCCATTTATTAAATTCACATTGGGGCTGGGGGTATAGACCAGTTGTAGAGCATTTGACTACCATGCATGAGGCCCTGGATTCAATCCTCAGCACTGCAAGTAAACGCACACTAACTGTCAAACACTATACAAACCATTTGAAATACAACCTTGACATTCATTACTATGTGACTGCAAATAGGATATTAACCAAATCCAAAATAAAACAAATTCTAAGCATAAACACTTGTGCTATTTTAACTCAGTACAAATAAACTTCAGTAAAACAATGTACATAATTACCTCGAGCACATGTCGATGCAGTTGAGGTACTTCTGAGTTTGCACTGGCCTTTAATTCCAGTCTCTCAGTATCTGAGGCAACACTGGAAACATCCAACTTGGCAATCTTTTGCTCAGAAGTAGCAGGGGCCTCAGAGACATTACTAGGACAATCACTAGCTGATTTGGTCTCTCCAGCAAAGTTAGCTGTTTTCTTTCCTTCTTCCTGTATCTGATCAATATCTGATTGTACAGTTGTTTCAGAAAGAGTGGTTTCTAATACAGTGGCTGAAGATCCTGATGCTGTCATAGTCAGGAACCCAGAACCTTTAGAATCTTGAATTTCAATATCAGTTTGCTTTTTAATAACAGGTACTTCCTCTTGAATTATTAATTCATGGCCATTACTACACATGCCTGGTCTTTCACTGGCTTCAGAAGCAGCTAGTGACAAACTACTGTCTTGGAGCTCTGTGGGCAGACTGGCTTGCTCAGCAGGGCTCCCTTCTACCTTCAGTTCTACATAATCATCATCATCTTCTTCTATAGACTTTTCCAATAATTCAGGCATCTCTGAAGAATCTTCTTCTGAAGGAGAACTTGTGGAAGCAGTTACTTCACTGGTGCTTATTGTGACTTCGCCGGCTGTTTTAGAAGAATCAGAGAAAACAGCTGCAGGTTCTACTGTACCAGGAGATGCTTCTACATCACCTGCATCATTTGTCTCATTTGTCAGTGCTGCTTCCAAAGTGACTTCATCCAGTAACTCCTGATTTTCTTGCTCAGTTTTCCTTTCTTCATTACATATATCAGGCATTTGCAGTTCAATATTGGATACAGATTCTATTGAACCTGCCTTCTCAATACTTGAGTTTTCATCATGGTTTCTGGGAAAATGAGGAGAGGCAGGAGAATCCTTTGTATCTGATTGCTGAGAACCCACTGAAACATCGACATTCCCACCAATGCCACTGACTGCTTGAGCTGGACCTGAAGAATACAACCCTATGTCTTCATCAGTTTTTCCCTGCTGTTCCCTAAATATATTGGCAAGGTTTTCTTTGTGTATTTCAAAAGTGACCTAGAAGAAAAATGTACAATCAAAACACACATAAAAGTGAGCATGACATACAAAATATAAAATCAAAATATTTTTAATACATGGCTTTAAATATATAATTTATACAATACAATAAAACTCCTTTCCTGTAATATCTTCATTTTTAGTAAAATTAATTTAATGCTAATACGTAGAATGGCATGAACATAGCCTATTCATAAACATGTGTAGGCAAAAACTTCACTATTTCACTAGCCTCTATAATGTGTACAGGATCTAAGTTTATACCATCAGGAAGAGCAATGCATACTAGATAATGCATTGTTTCATGTGCATTGAAAACACATTTTCCTATAACTTGATTTCAGAAGAGATTTTTTTTAAAAAACTGTTAATTAATTATACTCATTACTTTCCAGCTCTGTATATTCCAGCTCTGTATATTCTACAAAATTTTTAGCTTACTAAGCTAAATAAAAATTACTTTCATCATGGAAAAAAAAATCCAAATCTTTCCCAAAGGTCAACCATAACTTTCAAAGTTTGAATTAGTCACAAATGGTCTGACAAATTCCAGTTAATCCATCAATGCATCTATTCATTCCTCCTATTCTGAGTGACTATCATATATATATATATATATATGTATATATACAAAATATATATATATATATATAATATATATATATATGTATATATACATATATATATATATTCAGCACTATAAACATTCCTATATTGTGCTGTGTCCGTTACTCAAGTAAATAGAAAAAACTGAATAGAGAAAAAAGTGAAACAGATAGTACTGTGATCATAATATCACAGGATATAAAGGTTTTTTTAATTTCTTCAAGGATTAATGATTTCCACCGTTTCATAGTGAACTGCCACTCCCAAACTCCCTAAAACACAACAGAAAAAGTACAACGCATGCAGAAAGTATAAACATAACTACAATAAAATAAAGCTAAAACTGCTTCTTCCTACAATGCACATTATTATAACATATAAAATAAGCTGAACATTCATTCAAACAATCTTTATTGAGCCCTAGTATGAGAGGATGGCAGGAGATACAAAAGAAGAAAAGTTGGTCTTTTACACACGAAATTCAATAGGCCTTTTTGAGTAAAAGGCAAACAAACAAACAAACAAACAAAACTAATGACATAAAATTTCCTTCTATAGATATTAACTAGCCTTTACTCGTGAAACATATAGGATATTCACACTATAATGTGATACTGCTAAAGATGTAAATACTTAGGAAATAACCATTTTCCTACTTATATTTATAAATAATTTCCTAATTAAAACAATAAAATGTCAATTTCTTTTATACTCATGCCAATATTTTCTTTGAATTTTTCTTTTAATCAGTCTATTCCTCACATTCATTCCACAAAAATACACTGAACAGCTGCAGCATACCAGGTTCTATATGATGAACACTGTTCCTGCCTTCACAGAGCTTATAGTCTAATGGAGGAGGCAGAAAATAAACATACAAATGTAAGATAATGTTAGCTAGTTATAACACCTTTAAGGTAAAAAAGCTACAGAGAATTACTGCAGATGGAAGTCAAGAAGAGGATGGATTTTATTAGGGTAACTGGGAAAGGCCTCCCAACTGTATTTGAACAAAGACCAAAACAAAAGAGACAGCAAGTGTGAAAAGGAAGAGTCAGGAATAGAGAACAATAAATGCAAAGCTCCTGGAGCTAAAATAAGTTTGATATCTTTCAAAAATAACAATAAACGGTGGCTGAAAACTGTAGATGAAATCAGAGATGTAGCCACTGGCCAGACTGTGCTAAAGAGTCTGGATTTATTTCTCAGAAAGCCAACTGAGAACTGTAAGTGAGGGAAGACACAATTTGACTTCCATCTTAAAAGAACCCCTTAGACTCTTGTTTGGACAACTGACTTTAGGGGAGATAAGTTCTTCACTGATACAACAAGTGTCATTATCTAAGAAAGCAAGTTATATACAACCAACCTTACAGTGATTTTTTTAAAAAGACCATTTATTTTTACCATTGTTACAGAGTGAGTTTAATTTCAATAATAACTTACTTTGATCTTATTTAAATAAACAGCTTTTGAAATTGTTCTAAAAAGTACAATAAACATGAGTACACACAATTTATATGTACAGATTAACAAACAGTATTTTTAGTTCTGTTACCTACCACATATATTAAGAAATACAATATTACCAGTACCTTACAATTCCCCTAAGGTTCCATTCCAAATGTACTTCTTAACTTTCCTACCTCCATCAGAAGGAAATCACTGTCCTGACACTTGCAATTGTTTTTTTTAGTAGTTTTACCACTCATATAGTAAACACGCCTGTTCTCTTCAGTTGAAAAGAACTAAAACTAGCACAAATCTAGCCAGCTCTATAAATACAGAGCACTTTTGCCATAACTAACCAAAGGCTCACAGGAGAAGACAAGATAAACAGAATCTGTGAAAAGAGCTTTAGCTTCTCTGAGAATAGATATAGACAGACATAGAAGACTATTTCTGGGAAATCTATAAGCAAGGCCATTGGGAAATGCTGGGAGATACATAAATGAAGAGAACTGGAGCATCTCTCAGGGCTGTTGTCAGCCAAGCAGTGCGTATCTGGAATGAGTAAGGTCTAGGAAGTAGATTACTTTTTATTTTTTTTAATGCAAGGCTCACCATGGTCAACTTCTGTCCTCAGAAGTAGGTCAAAACAGTATGTTATTAGGTGCAGAGTGAGAATTCTCAGGTATTTAGGCAGCAGGACTAGAAGGAGGAGCAGAAACTTAGTATATGGTAAGACAAAGTACTCATAACGCTATTGGACCACTTCATAGAGGTAATTTGTCCTTAAACTTTAAAGGGAAAAAAAATTTATAAAGGCTGCTGGCATCCTGAATCAAACTGAGTCTAGATAGGTTATTTATGTCTGCTGCTATCTGTTCACTAGATGGACCACCACCTATGTCTGCCATCCTAAAATCTCCCTTCTTCCTGTAAGCTGGAGGTCCCTTCATCTGTCTTCTATGTTGCTTTTCCTGTTTCACGTGTACCATATCTCTTTCTGTTTTATTCTCTTTTTCTTGAGAAAGGGAATATGAGATGAAATTTTCGAGAATCCAAATATTTGAAAATATATCTAACTTACGTTCATATTTGATTGTCAGACTAAATATAAAATCACAGATGTGAACGCATTTACCTTCAGAATATAAAATGCTTCTAAAATTCTAGAATTGGTTAGCTTAAATTTCCCTTTAATTTTTTCCCAACAGTCTAAAAGCTAAGTGACAATTAAACAATTATCATTGTTGTTACTGTTTTTGATGCTGTTTTCCTTAAGGTATTTGTGAGTTTAAAACTGATAATTTCTAATTAATTATCCAATATTGTTCTAAATTACCCAGCTAAAAGACTAGTCATTAATCTTCACAATCATTTGATAGCTAATCTATAGCTGTTTGTAATGTTTCGAAAGCACTTCTATAAACTACTAGTTAAAGATACTTATGAGCTAATAACTACATTTCTTTTGCCACTACTTTCAACTTAATTGGCACCCAAATTTATAAACTAGGAGATAAAAAAGGAAAGCATAAGAGGCTCTCTTAAAATCATATATTTAAAAATGATTAACCCATAAAACTTTAGATTTTTTTTAAAATGTTAGGCATATTTAGCAAGTGGATTTTCTTTTATACAAATGCATCTGTTTCAGTGTGTTTTTTTTGCACATCAATACTACCTAAATATGGTATCTCAATTTTGAATTCTTAGGTTACCTATCTTTCCAGATAAGGTATCAATACACATATGTCAAAAAGATTACCAACACACAAGATCTGTTGCAGAAACTGATGTAACAGCTTCCAACAATAGTAAAAGGTAATAGATTCAATAACAAATTCAAATTATAAATGCTTACTTATCCATTTTATACAAAGCACCTACATTTTTAATCTAAATACTCCAGATTCAAAGGCAAATGCTGCCCTAATGAAGCTTTGTGGAGAGATAGCAAGTATAAGATCTATGGCTCCCAAGAAAACTACTGAGGAGAACTAATTATGAAAATAAAACTAGAAGCTTCGTTGGGCTCAGTGCCTCACACCTAGAGTCATAGCTACTAGGGATGCAAAGACGGAAAGGATCACAGTTCAAGGCCAACAGGGGCAAATCGTTCTCAAGACCCCATCACAACCAACATGGTGGCCATGGTGATGTGAGTCTGTCACCCCAGGTATGTGGGAAGCATAAATAGGAGAATCATGGTCCAGGTCAGCTGGGACAGAAATGCTAAACCCTATTTGAGAAATAACTAAAGCAAAAAAAGGCTGGGGGCATGGCTTAAGCAAGTGTGAAGCACTAAGTTCAAACCCCAGTATTGGCCACAAAAAAAAAAAAAAAAGAAGAAGAAGAAGCAGCTCACTGGCAAAGGGAAAAATCCCATTAAAAAGTCAAGTGATTTGTGTAACAAGCTTACAAGCACTATACATTCATTCACATAATGAACTTTAAAATTTTTGGTAAGTATGCTCACGTGGTTCAAATATGAAACAGTGTATAGCAGAAAAGTGTCCCTTCTACCACTGATTCTCAGTTGCAAAAATCCTGCCAAAGACCAGGCAATTAATCAGCTACTAATTTCTCATGTATCTTTCCAAACTATTGTTTATACATAAATGCAAATGTGAATTCTTACTTTCCTACTTATTTTATTCATATAAACTTAACTATACAGAACACTCCTCACTTTTTTACCTAAGTTTCTTGGTAAATTAGTTCAGAATAATTCTACTTTATGACCTCCTTACAATGAATAGGGTCAGCATCCTTTTACAGCTAAAGTACTCTCTATGTAGTTTCCTGTGGGATGCCTGATCTCATCCTTTGCACATTCTTCTACTGTATGGGCTTTTCTGATCAACTGTTAAGTAGGTCTAATTTTTCGCTTTTTTCTCGCCCCCACCCATTTTTACAGTGGTGGGGATCAAACCCAGGGCCTT